GGTTTATTAAAATATTGCTGTAAAGATGACTTATTTACTTATTTAAATATTTTAAATATTTTTGATTATTTATTTGATATAATATAGATAATGTGATAATGTTTCAGACATTCTTTAAGACAACATTGTGCCGTAGTGCTGTTCTGTTGTAACTTTTGAATGTGGTTCATCAGTTGAAATACTGTTAAAAAAAATCACTCTAAAAATACGACCCGCCTTATACACTGTTGTTGTCGTTGTTGTTTTTTCAGCAGAGTATATTCCACATTTTTTGGTCACCTTCAGACCGTATTCCTCACCTTGAACACCAGTCCAAAAATCTTCACACCTACAGTATGCTCATGTAACAGACCATATTTCCTACTGTGCCAAACAATGAAGCAATATCTTCATTTACAATCAGCATTTGACTCCACAATGCTGTAGCCGACATTCAACCATGCATGCAGTTATTTAGCACTTGATGTAAATGTGCCTCAAGATCACATTATATTGTGTGAATGCTGTTGGAAATAAAAGCAGTTCAACCACGGCAGCCTGGCTCTTTACTGTAACCCTGATCTGCAAAGAGGAAATAAATCAGCCACTTCAATTTATCTCTCTCTCTCTTCTTCTTCTGTTTCTTTTTTTGGCTTTCACAGTATAATATAAAATATTATATAAATATATTGTATTATATATTTATGTAAAATGTATAAATATTATATTTCAGGGATTATACAAAGTGTTTTGAGAGTAGTAAAAAATATATCTCTTCACAGCAAAACTAATTTTCATGGTGCATAAAAAGCAATAAATAATTTTCGGTTCTTAAGAACAAACTTTTTTTGTTGCAAGTAAACATAAACAAACCCAGTTTCAAAAACTATTTAATAAATTACTATTTAACTCCAAGGGAACGGTGAGTATATAAAGTACAAATTCACCTGTATCTACTAATGTGTACCTATTACTGTTATTGACATTCGTGCGTATTTTGCCTTCGCTGTGGTCGTACGCTGAGTGTTCACTGCAACTTCCGGTTTACTTCCTGGCTTCACTTCAACGATGCTTGATTGTTTAAGAACAACAGGAAACAGAATAATAAAAAATAATTAACATTTCAGATAATTTAACTAATAATCGTAAAATTAAAAAAGCTGATAGTTTCTGAGTGCTCCTTCTTAAAAGTAGGTCAGTTTCCGTTTTCTGGCCAATCAGAGCAGAGGGCGAGTACGAAGAGGCGGAGACACCCTAAGAAAAGTCAAATCGGGACAAAGCGATCATCGGTTACGGTCTTCGTTTTGCATCGTTTTTGGTCTGTTTTTGTTGAGTTCTATCAATTCGTTGAGATGGCTGACAGCAGAGATAAAGCCACCGACCAAATGAAGATCTGGAAGGAGAGCAGAGGAGCTATGGTTTGTATTTATGATGTGGTCGCTGCAGAATCTTTTTCTGCGCAATCGTGCAGACGTGGGTTGTTGTGGGTTAAGCTAAAGCTGATGCTAGTTTGTTTGTTTCTCTGCACCCACAACTTGACAGTTGGTCGCCGAGATTATACACTGAAATAACAAACAAACAAACAAACAAAACTATGAAGATTTATGGTCTGTATGCATCGCTTGTTACAGTCCAACAGAGATATAAAAAAATAGGTCATATGCTCTGCAGCTGAACTTTAACCCTGTTCGTTATATAACCAGCAGATTAAAAGGGGAGTCTCCAGAAAAGTGTAACGTACGTTACGTTTAACTCAACCAACGTGGAGACTTTAAGTAAATGCTCGTTTGTTTGTTTAGTCTTTTTAATGTATTTTTTGCAGGTGTGTACAGCATCTATAGGCGTTAACGCCAGTCATGATGCAAGTCCTGTCAGTACAGTTGAAGAATGTAATGCAGTTGATCCGAAATAAGTACAGAAACATTTGTAATTCAAGAAAATACCAAAACAATTAAATGCACAAAACATAAATTTAATCAAATGGCATCTTTATGCTAGGTTACATTGAACGTTATGAACCCCACACTGGGAAATAGTAAATATAAAAGAAAACATAATACATTAATCCTTAATAATGAGTTAATGACAGTTATAACAAATAAAATTCATCCACTCTTAAATGGACAGCTGGGTGTTGCTGCAGCTGGTAATAGCAGTGAGCATTGCTAGTCTGTGGAGCTGCAAACCTACAACAACCAAAACATTGAAATTGCGCTGGGTTTTGGCTTATACACAGATTTTATTAAATATTTTCTGCCTGTTTTGGCTTAAAGTATCAGAGGAAAAACAGTGAAAACCCTGTCAGTGTTCTAAAATTATGCCTTCTTTAAATGCTTGGACAGCTGTGTAAATATCTTGTTTTTTTTCCTCAATGTTTTCAACATTAGAGACCAGACACCTTGACAACAGGAGGTGGCCATCCCATCGGAGACAAGTTGAATCTGCAGACCGCGGGGCCGAGGGGACCCCTGCTGGTCCAAGATGTGATCTTCACGGACGAGATGGCCCACTTTGACAGGGAAAGGATCCCAGAGAGAGTGGTGCATGCTAAAGGAGCAGGTGAGTGAGCAGTACGGCTAACTCTGTGTCACCTCTGTGGTAATTCTAACAGAACCTGTGACCCTCTGAGTCAATAAGTCTCATACCACGTGGCCATATGCTGCTGTAATATTTTACCTTTCTTTCTGTAATTAGAGCAGTACCTTATACTTTCTTCGCAGTGTTTTTGTAACATAATATGCAGTATTAATGATATTACAGTATATTCACCAAAGTAGACCACAAGAAAACAAGTCTTGGTTTTGTTTGTGTCACATGTTTATGAGCAGATTCATCCAGGTCAGAAACATAATAGTACTATACTTTCATTAACTTTTTTTTTTCCTTCATTCAGGAGCTTTTGGTTACTTTGAGGTGACTCATGACATCACTCGCTACTGCAAGGCAAAACTGTTTGAGCATATTGGCAAGACTACACCAATCGCCATCCGCTTCTCCACCGTGGGTAAGATTAACCACAGATGTATGACAAATGTTGAGTTGTTCTCTGTCACAGTTCACAGCTCCTGCATTATAGGATTATCAGGTTTATCAAGTTTCAATTTTGTTTTCCACAGCTGGAGAGTCGGGATCAGCTGACACTGTGCGGGATCCCAGAGGCTTTGCTGTCAAGTTCTACACCGAGGAAGGAAACTGGGATCTTACTGGCAACAACACCCCGATTTTCTTCATCAGAGACGCCATGCTGGTGAATGTTCCTAAACTGTTCCACTTGTCTTTCAGCTGAAGTCTTTCTAACTGCAATTGTGTTATACCGGACATTCATATAAACACAACATGTGTGTGAAACTTATGTTACCTATGTGCTCTGGTTTCTCCACGCAGTTCCCGTCCTTCATCCACAGCCAGAAACGAAACCCTCAAACCCACATGAAAGACCCTGACATGGTCTGGGACTTCATGAGTCTGAGGCCTGAGAGCTTGCACCAGGTAATAGCTGTTGCTGACTCAGAGTCATTTCTTGAAGACTGTAGAAAGTGTTTGTTTTGTTTTTTTCACCTTGTACTTCCTGTGCAGGTGTCCTTCCTGTTCAGTGACCGAGGTATACCTGATGGCCACCGTCACATGAACGGCTACGGCTCACACACCTTTAAATTGGTCAATGCTAACGGAGATTGCGTCTACTGCAAGTTTCATTTCAAGGTTGGGTGACTCCTCACATTCAGCACATCATTTCGTTAAGATGTTCTCTTGGGATTTGGTTTTGCTCAATTTCATGTTGTATCTTTAGACTGATCAAGGAATCAAGAATCTCTCAGTGAAGGAGGCAGAGAAATTGGCATCCACAAATCCAGACTATTCCATTTCAGACCTGTTCAATGCCATTTCCAATGGCAACTTCCCATCCTGGACCTTTTACATCCAGGTCATGACCTTTGAGCAAGCTGAGAGGTTCCAGTTCAACCCCTTTGATCTGACCAAGGTAAAAACAAATATATGTATATTGGTCACACTGTCATCAGATCGTTTTTGTCACAGAGTTGCGTGTTGAATTCTTTTATGAGCAAATATAAATTTAAATAACGGTTGAGTTTTAACTAGCTGTCTGACTCATTTTAAAATTGGAATTAATTCTTGTATTTCCATTAAGGTTTGGCCTCATAAAGACTACCCTCTGATTCCTGTGGGCAAAATAGTTCTCAACAGGAACCCATCCAACTATTTTGCAGAGGTGGAGCAGATGGCCTTTGACCCCAGCAACATGCCAAGAGGCATTGAGCCGAGTCCTGACAAGATGCTGCAGGTAACAACAACTTATCCTCAGAAAGAAAAGAAAATGAATAAACATAGTTGAGACATTGTTTATATGGTAATACATTGACCTTGTTTGAACAGAGAATTTTCTCAAAGCTTTTATTTGTTTATACACTTATTTAATAAGCACCAATAAAATTAAAATATAATTTCACAAAACGGTTAAAGTGGTTCTGCCACTTGTGTTCCAAAGCCGTTTGTAATGTAAATAAAAAAACACATACGACCTGTGGCCACAAGAGGGCACCGGCCGCACTAGTTAAAATGCTACAGCACCACTGAAAAATGACATGGTTAATACAAACAGCAGACTATAATGTATGCTGCCTACTGGATTAATATCTGCTTTAGCAGACCATAAACCAGCCTTTTGTGGGAACTGCTTGTTTGACTTTACATGTCTTTGTCCAGGGTCGTCTGTTCGCCTACCCAGATACCCATCGTCACCGACTGGGAGCAAACTACCTGCAGATCCCCGTCAACTGTCCTTACAGGGCTCGTGTGGCTAATTACCAACGTGATGGACCAATGTGCATGTTTGACAATCAGGGTAAACAATTTTTTTTTGTACAGATTTTGACATATGATCAGAAATGTTTCTATGATGGATATACAGTGGGGCTTCAAGATATGAGTTTAATCCGTTCCACAACCCAATCTTAACATCAAAAATATAGATATAAACAAATACTGATAATATAAAATAGTAATAATTAAGAAAACCTTTTGTTAAAAAATGGTTAAAATAACCCAGCGAGAGACAGTGACCGAGAGAGTGTCGATTTAGATTTTAGAAAGATAGAGGGTGTAGAGTGGAAAAATGGAGCTCAGTTGACCACTCGTAACTCGATTTACTCATATCACGAGGAAAATCTTGCAATAGTTGCTTACTCGTACCTTGGAAAACTCGTATTTCAGTTAGCTCGTATCCTGAAGCCCTACTGTACTGTGTGTTGTCTTGAGGCCTGAACTGTGTTTTTACATGTAAATAAACTTAGTAGGTTTTTAACACCTCAGTTTGTGATGGATTATGTGGACTCTCACTGCTTTGACTCTGTCTGGCCTGTAGGTGGTGCTCCAAACTACTACCCTAATAGCTTCAGTGCTCCAGACTGTCAGCCTCAATTCGTGGAGACCAAGTTCAGGGTTTCTCAAGATGTGACTCGTTACAACAGCAATGATGACGATAATGTCACACAGGTATTTTTTTATTTACATTATTTCTTTTTAGATAGAGAGACAGGCAGAGAAGGAGAGTCTGCTGTTCAACTGAACAACCAAATATGTAGCAGCTTAGAAGAACGCTATAAGTATTTGTTTTTAGTTTTAATTTCAACAGTTTTTATGTGAGTCAAGTGTTGGTCTGACCCCTAGTCGGGCAAACATGATGATCACATGACAACAGCAGTAACATTTCTATTGTATTCAAATGGAAAATCTGAAAGAAAGAAAAAAGAAACACTGAAGGTCCCGAGAACTATGGGCAGGCTGAAAAATATTTTGAATCATAACAGTACCTTGGCTTGGCACTGGGAGCTTTGTTTATGTGGGAGCAGAGGTTACATAACATCTTTCTTTTCCTTTTTTTTTTTTACTATTTCTGCATTAAATGCACAATAAATAGGTTTCCGAGGTAAATCTTTTTTTTCTTTTGGTGTTTGCAGGTTCGTAACTTCTACACCAAGGTGCTGAGTGAGGAAGAACGGCGCAGGCTGTGTGAGAATATGGCCGGGGCTCTGAAGGATGCCCAGCTCTTCATCCAGAAACGCATGGTGAGCACACGTCATCTTTTCGGATATTAACTCATCCGGATGCTTTTGTGTCAATAAACAAAGACACCTGGGTGAAAATGTATTTCAGTTAAACCCTTTTTTTAGTATATTTGAGATTTGCGTTTTCATTTACTTTGATGTTTTCTTGTTTTGTGCCTCGGCAGGTTGAGAACTTAAAGGCCGTCGATCCAGATTATGGGAACAGGGTCCAGACCCTTCTCAACAAGTACAATGCTGAGAGTCAGAAGGTAAAGACAGACTTCATCCAGCTGAACATTATTTCACTCCAAGGCAAAACAGAACATTTCAGCTCTTAGATAGTTGATTCATTGCTCTGCTTTTTTTGTCACCAGTGTTTATGTCATTGTTCACTGTTCATTTATTCATTCTCTGTCCTCTGCAGAACTCCGTTCGTGTCTACAGCCGTCCTGCAGCCGCCGAAATCTCCAAGATGTGAAGCCCTAAATCTCAAATATGGCTAATTGCAATGACATTATATGCACTAACATAGTTACCAACTGCTACAGCCAGTGATAAGATTAACCAACAAGATTCATATGTTGATCTTCTGTTGTCAGTTTAAAGGCTCAGTTTATTGAGACCAACAAGATTCATATGTTGATCTTTTGTTGTCAGTTTAAAGGCTCAGTTTATTGTAAAATCAGAAAAGGTATTTGGGGATGGATACTAAATTCAAATGGTGTGTAATTATTGCTTTAACAGACACCACGACTGTGCCTCATATCAGCCAAATATTTCCTTTTAATTGGTGACCTGACCTGAATGCATCGTAACCACTGTGAAGTAGAGGTGGTCGTTTCCAGTAATTGCTTTTTGTGTATTATTTACTTCACTATAAAGATGACATTTGCTACTGAAAATAATAGGATGCTTACTTTGGTTGTTTAATTTCAAAGTTGTTTTGATGTCTGGGTTTTGTTAGATTTCCTGGGTGCTTTTGGTAAATCAATATGCTATATTCTTTATCCTTGTTTGAATTAAATTTTAGATGGATGATAAAGAAAAACTTATATATATTCTATTGATGATAACAGCATGACTTGTTCTAAAGACATGAGGATATTCATATGGGTGTGTTCTCACAACAACTACTTTTCTGTGCCTTCATTTTATGGTACATTATCTACAATGTACACCTTGTTTATCTTTTTTATCTCTCTGGCTTTAGATGTTATGCCAGCACAGTGCCTGTGCTAACATGACATGATACATATGATCATGTATCATCCAGTCAACCGACTGTGAGCTTCTCATCCTAAACCTTTTTTAAATGAGCATGCCTTCTTTGATAATTGTCCCTCAAATATTTGTTCAGTTCAAAGTACTAAATTCCTTTACATGAGCTGGAATATATCCAACAGCATTCAAAAGAATTAAAGACGGATGTATTGTGAATACCATTTACACTATAAATGACTGTGGTTAAATTGTAATAATACAGACTATAAAATGTTTTTTAAACCCTGTTAAATCTGAATAATAATGCTTTTACTTGCATTAATTCATTAAATGGTATCAACATCTCTCTGTCATGTTCTATTGGTCATTTTAGTGTGTTCATTATGGTATCGACCTGTGTTGACCCTATTTGATCAGAATTATTCAGGAACAAGGCATAATAACTATAGATAGTATATAAGCAATGGATGGAGCTGTAGTCATGAAAATAACACTAGATGTGCTATCTCTCTCTCTCTCTAGTTTTAAAAGATAACTTTTTACTGCATCATAATTGGTAAATAAGGCCACTGCTAGTTTTATAGTAACTTTAGTTCAGTACTTTCTCGTCCCTTTTTCCAGCAGTAAACTGTGAAGAAACATGTAACAAGAAACTAAAAACTTCACTGCATTAATAATAATGTCATACTAAACGGGTCCATTGGCAATGAAACCCGTTAAACTAGTTGATGTTATTATAAACCAATGAAGGCACTCGTATCGAGTTATAATCTTGCAGTTTTTCCTGTAAAACCCGCATCAAGACCTTGTAACCCCGCACCTCTTTGCCTGTTTAGTTATTAGCTTCAACAATATACCAAATGTACGAAAAAGTTAATATGGTATCGCAGGGAAAAAATGAAATCTTTACGTCATAGAACACGTGTCCTGTTGTATCTATATAGTTGTAAGCCACTCCTTTAAGAACGTAGAGCAGAGTGGCGCAGCGGAAGCGGGCTGGGCCCATAACCCAGAGGTCGATGGATCGAAACCATCCTCTGCTAGCATCTTTTCATCTATTTTGACTAGTTTTTTTTAAAAAAACACACATTTACCCTTGGCAAACAAAACATAACCGCCACCTACAAAGTTTAAGCATCGAACCCGTGACAGGAACACAACGTCCGCACGTGATCACTCAGAAGAAGACGGGGATTCATAGTCCAAACCCGAAGGTCATACTGCTTAAAACTACACGAGCTGACAGAAATGCAGACATTTTTGTTAAATACGTTTAGCAAGTGTGTTTATTAATTGTAAACAAGGACGTAGACCGGAAGTGAACGCGATATCAGGTTTGTTTAAAAGAGAAGCTAAACATACAAGGAGTTAAGACTTATAAATCCACGCTGCTTGTTAGTAACATTTAATAGGTTGTGTAGCAGTAACAGAGTGATATTCCTTAAGCTGTATCATATTCTAGTTAAACTCTTAAACTGTAAATTAAGTCCATGTTCATCAGTTCATCAGCTGTGAAAGCCATTGTTCTTGCTTAACAAGTGACTTTGTCATATTAAGTCATTATTCGTGAGTGACCCTTGAGTGGAATTTTAGATTAAATTAAAATAACATGATATGTTTAAAATGTATATCCATGTCTAAGGTCCATGAGCACAAGCATCTCTAAGAATGTTGAAGAAACTGTGCCGCTCCTGAACATCTATTGCTGTCACTTTTTTTTGTCTCCCTCCATCTCTATTTTTGTCTGTCTTTCTCCCTCTCTCCCTCTCTCTCTCACCCTGTCTCTCTTTCTCTCTCAGGCCTCACCACATAATGACAGACCTTCTGTATATTAAAGGACCCTGCCCATGCGTCCTCTCCCAGCCACCTCCCTCTTTCATAGGCCTTTATAAGCCTCATACACATTGGGGGGCACTAACTTCCATCGAGGGACAGTACACTTGTCTCAAGAAGGGAAACTACTTTTGAAACCCATCAGGGAACGCTTGATCGATCACAGCCATGGATAACCATTCGTACAATTTCCCGTCCGACTGTACCCCACTCACCAATTGCAAATCTGCCCGTAAACCTGGGGGATCCACCGTGGTGAACATGGGCAACGTTGGCAAAAATCCTCCGCGGGACTATCTGATCTGGTCACTGTGCAACACCTTGTACGTTAACTTCTGCTGCCTGGGATTCATGGCTCTCATCTACTCTATTAAGGTTGGTGTCTGTGTGTGTGTGTTTTTTTAACCTTTAATGTTGTTTGCTGTTGTGTTGTTTACTATTTGTTTTTTATGTTGAATAATTGTATAATTTATATATCCAGTTAATGATGTTGTGAGGTACTTTAAAGAAAACTAACACAAGGACCAGGCCTTTCAGTGTTATCACATAAATTTGTTTCTGTACGATGGGAGGTTAGTAAAATTATGTTGTCTCTGACTACAGGCTAACATAATCTTAATTGAATTATTAATCACCAACAGGGACATGTTTGTTTATATAAAAGCAGCACTTTAACTAAATTCGATTTGCCATGATGTTAATCTGAATGACAAATACAGAAAGTCTTAGTCAAAGTCTCTACGTCGACAAGTTTGGTGCAAACTGTTAAATAGTTTGGAGGTTTTTTTTAATACAAAATAAACTTGATCTTCAGGTTAAATTTAGCAATTCCATCTAGAACGAATAGGACTTTGTGCCCAGACATGACAAAAGATCGGCATGTTGAGAAGTAGAACGTTGTACGTATAGAGTGATGTCATTCGAAGAGAACATATAACAATTGCTTCATGTAAGTGCCAGGTCTTGTTGTAAACTTGTACAGTGGCTGTTCAGAGGGTGCTAAAAGGAAAAATGTTTCTGTGCCCTTAACCACAGGAATGGAACTCTGCAAAAATAGGAAAGAATAACAAAACAATAACTTTGTAACTCAAAGCACAGGGGTAGCTTAAATGTGTCTAATATACCACCAGACTTTATATAAACCCTTTGTTTTGGTCATTTTAAAAATGTATTTCTGTCTACGTACACAGCTCTGAAGCACAGGGCACGTACTGGCTCAAATTAAAGACACCGACGAGCTCCGTGTCTTGAGAGTTAAAAATGGTGTAATTGGCATCTTCCTAATAAGCAAGTACTCATGGGAAATTAGAGAGTGCCACCAAAAGATCTAGCCTGGTCCGTTCCAAAATAAACAGATGTACGTAGAAGGATTTTATATCTCCCTAACTGTGCGCAGACAGAAGTCTGGACTGCATGTGGAAAATATGGGAATTACAGGGAAGAGTTGCAAACAAAAATCATAAGACAGCCTTTGTCTGTGTTTACAGGTGTTTACAGGTATCTGCCTGATGTAAGGGATATTTTACCTAAGTAGGACAGTTTAAGATCCAGCATCAGATCAAAGCTGGAGCCACTACTGACTGAATGAAAGCTAGACATTCATTGCGTGGCAAACCCGTATACAAACATGTACTGCACGTCCTGATGTGTTTTGACAATGCTGATATTTTAACCCCTGTTGGTGTGTCTGTGTTTGATAAGGCCAGGGACCAGAAGACCCAAGGGAACCTGCAGCTGGCACAGGAGTGTTCTGACAAGGCAAAGTGGTACAACATCCTGGCAGCCGGCTGGAACATGCTGGTTCCACTCCTGGCGGTCGTCCTTCTTGTCCTCCTGCTCGTCCACCTGGGTTCATCTAAGGGTTCTTTTGACTTCCTGGGAGAGGACGGCTTTCAGAACTTCCTCAAACTTTTCAGCTGGTAGACGCCGATGTATCTGTGCCAAAATCAAGTCAATACTTTCAAACAGGGGGTGGGAGAGGAGAGGAATGGATTGGATTTATAAGATAAGTTAAAAGTCTACATGATATTCAGAATCTGTTACGTGTATTCTCAAACATCCTCGGCAGTAAAATAATCATAATTGGTAGAAAAAGGTTTGGGTTTGGGAAAATTTTTAAGATGTTCCCAACGAAACACCAATATTGATGATACACATCAAATTTTATATCAACAAAAAGCTGTTTGTTGTATTTGTTTAGAATGATAAACCCAAACATAATAATTTTCAGCCTAAACCGGCCAGCCTGGGCAGTTATATGTGATTTTTGAGGGTTCCTTAGTGATAATGAGAAAGTTAAAGAAAGAAAGAAATGCCTGATCCCAGCCTGAGAGATTACAAAAATGCTATTTATTATATTTAAGATTCTCTGAAATTTTTATGGGCGCTGTCTCTAGTCACCAAAGACAGGGGAGAGAAGAGAGGGAACCATGGAGCCACAGTCTGACTATCATGACGATCAGAAGCCACTTTACAAAGGACACTTTCATTTAACTTTAAGTTTTTTTTTACTGTTAAATGATTGTTAGTCCTTAACTTTTTTTCTCTTAACTTTAAGTTTTTTTTTACTGTTAACTTCATCTATTAAATGTTAGTACACTTGTAATTTTATCAGTATTTTTTTGGACTTAGTATTTAGATCTTACAACGTCTTCTTGTGTGATGTGAGAGGGAGTCTAAATAAACAGATACTGTTTACTCAGTATTTTAATAATGATGCAAAAGTAAATGTTATTTTCATTTTCATTAAGCATTGTATGTCGTTAACTACATTTTCCGACACAGCCCAAAGTCATCACTGTTTAGCTCGTCACTGCGAACGCAGAGACATGTTTAACTGGCATTTGCGGTTCTGCTGCAGCACCTACACCCAGATTTAAGGTTATCATTTTGAGCTTCATAGGTTTGATTTTTGGGTGGTGTCTGAGGGGAATGGACTGGGTATGGTTCCTTTCATCCCAGCTGTGTGCCTGCTGCTGTGCCCTGTTATACACAGAACATGCCATTTTGGGAAACAGAGCGTGGCCTTCATTTGTAGAGCAGGACCGCCCTGGCAGACCACTACAGAGGAGGTCGCAGGAACATGAAGGCCTTCAGCAGGGCTGGGTGGCATCACTGTCAAAAATCAGCCTTGAATTCTCAAGATGCAGCCTTTTAATGAAAGTTTAATGTATAGAGTGTGAGGTTTTTACAGAACAGACCAACAGAACTCCTGTTGGATTTTTTAGGTAGATTCATTAAGTTAAAGGTAAAAGGTGAACTCAACCTTCACAGTGACCGTGGGCTCGGCTATACACTTAGTTCATCTTTTTCCACACTTCCCATGAGTTTTCATTTGATTCTGCTATAACTTAGATAAAACTTAACAAATGCATCGATGAGCAATGTTAAAAAGATGTATAAATAAAGTTATGAATGACACATTAAATTTAAAAAAGGGACAGGAAGAGCTAAGAAACAGCTATAAAAACTTAAAATCGTAGTAGAATGTATTTTAAAATAACAAGATAATAAGAATTGTGAAACATAGCCATATGTATGTTATGTATATGTTATGTATGTATATATAAAATATATACCTATATAAATTAGTTGGAAAATAGAGCTGAGCTGGAAGACTACCCTTAGCCCAAAGTTAAATAAAACAATTTGCCAAGAAAACTATAACAGTCACTTTTAACTAAAAACTTCTAAAATAGCCTGAAGATTTAAAAATGGAAATGTATGCTGGGAAATTGCTATGGTACACTTAAAAAAGAGACAATAACTTTTGTTAAACTGATATTTGTTCAATGTGAATTGATAACATGGTTCCAGCCGTGTCTAGGGTTGAATAGTTTTTTTTCTATAGTTCTAGTGTAAGAAGGACGTGTTACAAAAGTTAAATCAAAGTGGATTCAACAGTAGAGAATGAATCAACTCGGCTCATGTCTGTCAAACTGTATTTACTGTTCCATACAGTGACTAAGCCTGAGCTAAATAGAAGCTTGAGATCTTGAGATGATACAGTGAGGCTCTCGATCTGTTCTGATCTTGAGATGATACAGTGAGGCTCTCGATGGCCTGACTCGTCCCCCTGCTCCTGCTCCCTGTCTCTGACGACCTGGGGCATCTGGCTCCTCCTGCCTTCTACCCTGTGCACTGCCATCACATTGCTTGCTTCTTTATTTATACACACCCAAATCACAGCTTCCAGCTTCCAACTTTCTATTTTCCTCCTGTGGTCAACGAGAAATGCTCACAGATGTCTGAGCCATGGAGAATTACAGGCCAGACACCAGGCCTTACAAGGAAGGAGGGGTCACTAACTCCTCGCCGAGGTCAGGAGAACCACTGGAAAGACACACACACAAGCCGGAGTAACAAATATGTTTGTGTACTTGTTCAACTCTGTGCCAAAAACAGGTCCATACTTCAAGTCATATCTCCTGAAAAAATACTTTGGGTTTAACTCTTCTAGATTTAGCCCAATGTAAACATGTCTCTAACTGCTAATTAGTTTAATACCACACCTATCCTTCAACTCTAAAACCACAAGGTCTTTTGTGACTTCTCCATGTCAAAAATTTCAAAAACTTTTTCTGTGTGGAAAACATTTGATATTCATAATTTAAAACCAATATGTAGGTTTTGAATGTTTTGTCGATTTATCCTGAAAAATGCTGCTTATTTAGGGTGGTGTCACACCCTAAATAAGGTGTCACAAAGTGAAAAACTCTACGGAACAAAGAGTGTGTGTAATTATACGCATTTTTTTTACAACAGTAATGTTCTTTCCCATTTAAGTAGAAGGAAAGGGCTGGCAAATATGTTTCTGGCACCACCTGCAGGGCAGGGAAGAAAGCTACGGGCTCAGTGATGACGCAAAATACTGCCATAGATGATTGGATACTGCATACTTAACATTAAGTACTGCTCAGCACAATGTGTAGTATTTTTGCTCTGATTCTTTTTCGGTGAAGCCAGGACCTAAGACAAGATTAAAAGTTGAACGACAAAATGTTCTCTGTCACTTCAGAATGGCTCTCAGCTGCAGGCAATCTGTCGTTTGAATCACTTACTCTGTACTGAACAACACAATGCCTCTTTTCATAAGACGCATGTTGCCCCATGTGGAAGCATCAGGAACCCAGTGACGGACCATTTCTGTTTATATACAGTTGGAAACAAATTAAATGTTACAAGTGAGTTATTTATTTATTTATTTATTGCTCTGAAAATATGTCAATATATTTCAGTGTCAACCAGCGTTGGTGACCAGGTTGATTCATTAGTGTTGATTCCAGGTTGTTTGATAAAGAAAATGATTTGTAATCATTATTTGTTAGCCTACTTTTTTCTTTTTGCTGATGGTGTTGCATAAAGGTCACGTGTGCGTGCAGTCCTTGCATGTCTTTCTCCTAAAGCAGAGAAAATGAGTTTAGTATGAGTTCTTATGTAAGACCGAAAAACATCTGGGATCCATTGCCCTGTACTGTTGGATTCCTACTGCCTGAAGAGATACAGATGACATGTGACGCAGTATATGTGGGGCTCCTGTAGTCATTCCCTGTGGAATCAACGTCGTACAGGAGCCTTACTGAACTTGGAATACATCCTACATGTGTCCCTAAAAGGTGGATCCAGTCCTGACTGTTTAAGTTTATATATTTTGAATCACCACATCTAATATCTCAAATAAACAAGACAGAAAGAAGGAAAGGAAGATACAAAAAATAGACAACGAAAGAAAGAAAAAATTTGGTTTAAAGGAGTGTACAAATCTTCTGAGGAGAAAGTCAGCAGCAGCCACATTTCGTTTTATGGCTTTTCCAGATGTAGTGTGTGTCACTAGAGGGAGTCTTTCTCCTCTTTGATGTGTTATGTAATGTGGATAAAATATATTCATGTGTTCATAGTTTATAGAAGTATGCAACATATATAATCATGTTTTATAATAGAATAAATAATCATAAGAGATGTGCTAAAACATATAACCAGCTTAAACATAAAATGCTGCTTAAAGCTAAAACTGAAAATATGCAGCTGTAAGAAAAGGAGCTGCAAGGTTGAGGTGCACCAAGGTTTGTTGTTACAAGAGGAGTACTTGGTGAGATAGGGATCAGAAACTAGTAGATCACAATTTGACAACGGCTAGGTTCATGGTTAGAGCATAGGGTCACAACAACAGCACCTAGGTGCGATAAGAACAGGATGAGAAACCAAGGGAGTAGATGTTGTTGTCAAAATGTATGTGTGTGCGTAGAACAAATGAAGTCTGTACCACTTGACATGTACCACCTGGATGTTTGAGAGAATAAAAGAGCCTGAGTTTGGGGAGAGAGCAGGATTCAGCAGTCACCCCCCTGACTCTCCGCTGGACCCTCCCTGTGCACAGGTGAACTCGAGCAACGATCTTTGTCTTTTCTTTGTACTTTGTGAAAGTTCTAGATCAACGAACCGGTGGTAAAACCTTACCACGACAGTAACAGACTACGCCCTGATCTAATGACCCGTATCTCACCAACAAAACAGCACACGAGTAATGTACCACCAGAGATTTTACATTTCATTTGATTTATTGCAGTTCTGTCTTTTTTTTTTTCTTTTTTTTTTTTTTTTGTTGAGTTTGGGTTTAAGGGTGAACCCTGCCGGGATACGC